GCTCCTTCTCTCCCTCGCTCTCTCTCTCTGTGTGTGTGTGTGTGTGTGTGTGTGTGTGTAAAAGGACCACATGCATACATACAATTGCTGGTGGAGACCAGAGAAGGCTCTTTGATTCCTGAAGTTGAAGTTACAGGTGGTCAAGAGCCCCAAATTGAGAGCTGGAAATCAGATTCAGGTCCTCTGCATGGTAAGCTAGTGCTCCTGAACCCCTGAGCTACCTCTCCAGGCCCCCATGGTTTATATTTTAAACGTTCCCTAAAGATCATGTTCTAAAACCCTAGTTCAGCCTGTGGAGCCATCAGGAGCTACTGGACCTTTAAGTGTGATGGTTAAGTCACAGGGAACATGCCTTGAAGAGAAAATGGGGATGCTGCAGGGAGTCCCTGCCTAATGGGCTTGCTCCTGCCTTGCTTTCTGGAAGCAATGACATTAGCAGCTCTTCCGCCACCACATGCTTCTGCAGTGATGTACTGTGCCACCAGGAGCCCAAAGCAATGTAGCCGAATGATTATGGACTGAACTTCTCAAACTGTGAGCCAAAGTTAATCTTTCCTCTTTCTAGTGGTAGAAAGATGGCTGACACATTGGTACTGCTAAAAACAGGGACAGGACCTACCTAGCAGGTTTGCCCATAATCCACAATTGTTTTCACTCTTGGGCAGATGGCTGGCTCCTATTCAGGAAGGCCAACTGGCATGGTACAGCCAAGAATTAAGTCATGGCTCACAGGAGCATTTACCTGGCCAATTTGCCTTCTCGGTACGTCCTGCCCCAGGGGTGTCGATGTTTCTGCAGGGGCCACACATCTGGAAGCCAAAGTGTGATGGATCCTTCCATCATGTCTCCATCAGCACACGCTGGCTCTGTCTCTCGGCAGTAATAACACTTCCCATAGAAACACGTATTGTTCCCTGCAGGGTGGAAATGAGCCTGAATCACTTAAGGGAGAAAATTAAGAACCCAAATTCTCCCCCAAACAAGATCAAACAGCTAAGTAAACAGCCATCACAAAAATTAAAATCTTGATGTTACTCCATTTCACACAAGTGTTTTCCTATATAGGTAATAAAAGCAGACAGTGTAAAACAATCCCCAATGAATGAAAAGCTATATACTAGAAAGCAAATCTTCCTGTGTCTTCCTTCTACCCAGCCTCTCTCCCAGAAGTGAACTTCTGGGAGAACCATCACAGTCTTGCTTTCAACCCACAATAAACAATTAACAATGTCTTCCTGTTCTTTATCAGAGCTGAGGTTTTGGCCAGAGTACCTAGAGTAAAGAGAGTTTGTCACATATGGGGAGGCAGGAGCAGATAAGTAAATATACTGAGGATAATGGGAAGTAGATTCCTCACAGATGGAGAAGGAAAAAAAGTAAGATGGTCAGAGTAAATCCTGCCATGAATTAGAATCAGATACTGGTTTCAACACATACCCAGAGATAAAGACACAGAGTGTATGTATGTGCATTTATACATGTACCTGTGTGTATATACATGTATTTCCTATTCTGCCCATCAAGAGAACCTAGAAACAATGAGATCCAGGACTTATTCAAGCATCGGTTCTCCATCCTTCTCCCTCTTTCTTCTTATGGCAACAGGGCCTAATACGTGCAAGGCAAGAACTCTACCACTGAGCCATATACCCAGTCCTCTTTTTACTTTTTGAGGCAGGTCTTGAACTTACAAGGCCTACTTCCTCAACCCCCCCACATAGCTAGAATTAGAGGCTATAACACGAGGCTCAGCTTCACATATCCTTTCCTAAAGTCCATTTTAATATGGCTTTAAAAGGGCTGAGTCCGGAAGGTACTGATGAGCTATACTGACATCACCAGCTGTAAGGAAGTGCTCAGAGAACAATGAGACCATTCTAAGGACATGAGCTGGTTTGTAGGGTTCCCAATGGCTACATCTGCGGCACTTAGAATAGCAACATAAAAAATAATAGTAAGAAATTGCAACTCAGAAAATTAAATTCAGTGAGTTCGTGATATGAATAAAGAAATGCGGGCTGGAGAGATGGCTCAGAAGTTAAGAGCACTGACTGCTCTTCCAGAGATCCTGAGTTCAATTCCCAGCAACCACATGGTGGCTCACAACCATCCTTTATGAGATCTGGTGCCCTCTTCTGGATATACATGGAAGCAGAATGTTGTATACATATTAAATAAATAAAATCTTAAAAAAAACTAATTAAATAAAATTACTTAAAAAAGAAAGAAATGCATGCAAGGAGAGTGTTTAAACAGAATTCCTACCAAGAATGATATCATGAAACAATGATAGAATTATAAATCTACCACTTTATAACTATCATAATAGCTGATTTAAACACAAATGATCAATGTGCTAAAACTGGGGAAGCAAGTTTGATAAGGAATGGAGTATTTACATAGTTCTGCCTGGGAATGTGATACTAGGTGGTAGAGCTTTTGCTTAGCATGCATAAGGCTCTGGAGTCAACCCCACCCATTACTGGGGCTGGAGAATAGAAAACAATCGGGTGTTAACATAGTTGTGGAGCACCCTTGTATAAACAACACCTCCCCAGCTCTTCGACTTTAAGTACATGCCACCACATGCTTAGGTTGGGAGATTGAGGCTTTTACATATTTAAAAAATTATTTGTTTAATTTTATTTTATGTTTATTGGTGTGAGGGTGTCAGGTCCCTTGGAACTGGAGTTACAAGACAGTTGTAATCTACCAGATGGGTAGATTACCTTGGTCCTCTGGAAGGGCAGCCAATGCTCTCAACCACTGAGCTATCTCTCCAACCCCAAGGCCTTTTACACTTTGAAGCTAATCAACAGTCCCCTCTTTTGATAGGGACGGTAGTGTACAATTTTAATCCCAGCACTCAGGAAAAACAGAGGCAGTAGGATCTCTGTGAGTTCGAGGCCACATTGGTCTATATAGGGAGTACCAAGACAGTCAGCGCTATAGAGACACCCCCCCCCCCCCCCCGGTCTCAAAAAAGAAAGAAAGAAAAGGAAAAAGAAAAAGAAAAGAAAACCAGGCAATGGGGATGGAAAGATAACTTAGTGGTTAAGAGCACTGGCTGCTCTTTCAGGGAACTCTGGTTCAATTCCCAGCACCTGCATGGCAGTTCATGACTGCCTATAACTCCAGTTCTAGGAGACTAGACTCTGAAGATACTATATCTACACACTACACAGACACACATGCAGGCAAAACACCCATCCACATAAAATAAAAATAAATCATTTTAAAAGAAAAAAAAAAAAGAAAACCAAACAAAAGACCCACTCTTTGCTCATTTTTAGGATCATTTTCACAGTTCTGTACTTCTCATGGCTTTTTAAATAGTCCTGCCTATTTCTACGCCAAAATATTTGTTAGTATTCCTAATGTAATCAAGTTAAATTTATAGTTTTTAATTTTAGTAATTATAAGCATTCTATATGTGGTACTTTCAATTGGTTGAAATAGTTTTTAAAGAAATCTTAAGGTTGCTGGGAAGTGGTGGCATATGCCTTTAGTCCTAGCAAAAAAAGAGGATATACACACACACACACACACACACACACACACACACACACACACACAGAGACAGAGAGAGATCTTAAAGTAACAGCTTTGGGTGTGTGCTGTAGTTGATTAGGTTCTGTGGAGATAGGTAGATCTTAGGCCTTGCTAGGCAGCCAGCCCAGTTGGGGATTTCCATGTCAGGGAAAGACAACAATACAAGGAAGATGTGCCTGAGAAACAGCAGCCAAGTTGCCTTCTCCATGAACACACACATGTACAAAAGACAATTAATAAAAAATACAAATGGCTCTTAAAAAAAATCAACAGACGCTACACACATGAAACAAAACCCCCAAAAGTTTCAAGATGCATTATTATTATTAATTATTATTTTATTGTTGTTTTGAGACACGGTTTCTCTGTGTAGCCCTGGCTGTCCTAGAACTCTCTCAAAACTCAGAGATCTACCTGCCTCTGCCTCCTGAGTGCTGGAATTAAAGGTGTGCACCATCACCACACAGCTCAGGATGCATTATTAATGATAGCAGGAGGCACTTTCATATATTGCCATGGGTAAGGTAAATTAGTTAAGTGTCTATGAGGGGTAATATGACCACATCCACTAAAATTCAACATGCACATGACCCAGCACTTCAATTTTTGGAAATTTCTACTCATGTGTGAAACAGCATATGTACAAAGTAAGTCTGGACAACAATAGCTGTCAACACAAAATACTGGAGCAATATGTAAGTCCAATAAGGGACTGGTTATATGAATTTAAGGTATAATAAACACTTTGTAACTAGCTGTGATGGCTAATCTTGGTCCTCGATTTGAGTACATCTGGAATCAACTAAAACCCAAATTAGGCACACCTGTGAGGGGTTTTCTTGATCAGACTCTTTGAAGCAGGAAGGTCCACTCTGAATCGGGGCCACACCTTCTGGAGGCAGTCCACATAAAAGGAATAGAAGGAAAACTTTTCATTTTCCTTCTTGCCCTCCCTCTTGCTGGCAATTCATGTATCATGTTGCAGTATCATTCCTACACTGGTACTAGAACTAACTTCTTGGGGATTCCAAAGCAGCAGCTCTCCAGGATTCCTCTAGGACTCCAGGGCCAGATCAAGACTGCTGTTTATCCAGTGTCATGGACTAAACAACTACTGGACTCTTGGCATTTCCATTGTGAGACAGCCATTATGGAACTACTTGGATCACAGACTGTAAGCCAGTCTAATAAATCCCCTTTATATATTTTTTTCATTCTCTCAGTTCTGTTCCTTTAGAGAACTCTGAATAATATACTAGTCAAACAACAAAAGAATGAAGAACTTCTTAAATGTAACATGAAAGGTTTTTATAATATATTAAAAAGAATGATATGTAGAAGCTACAGATAGTATGCTGTAGCTGTATAGAATGGTAGAACTTAACATAAATATATATTTATATTCATATAAAAAGAAAACCAATGATTAAGAGAGGTTATTGCTAGCTAAGAAGAATAAGATGCAGAAGTATGTGTAGTATACCATATAGTATGTAGAATGGTAGTATTAAATATAAACATGTATGTGTGTAAAAAGAAGTAAGTTACTAAGAGGAACTGGAAAACATGCTACTGTAGTTCTTTTGACTCTTGAAGCATGTTAACAAACTGAATAAATTATTGATTCAAAAAATTAAAACACACAAAACAAAACAAAGAAATCCAAACCCCTGAATTTGGTAAATAAGAATCTTATTTAGGTAAAGAAGTATAATGTATTAGATAAGAATATGTGGTTTATTCTGATTTCTGGAGTTAAAATATAAACTTCATAGTTGGGACTGGAAATGGAACCAAGGGACTCTGAGCCAGTGCTCTCAAGAGCTATATTCCCAGCCCTTGAAATAGAAGCTATTTTAGTAAGGACTGCACAACGCTGAGCATGCAATTATAGCTCTCCAAGTATGCCAGCCCTCCCTGTCAGGTAGTGAAAAGGAGACATGTCTATGGCCAATGCTCAGTGTGTGCCTGACACTCAGAGACCAACCAACGGCATCCACTTCTCTTAATAAAATGACAAAACGTGCTTTTCCTGACTTCAGTATCCCCATTACACTGTGGGCCTGAGCCTCCAGCTCTGACCACTTCCTGGGCATACTCAACTTCAGAAACTGCTTTTCTGATCACCGAAGTTCTCCTTTCTCTCCTTGGGTGAACTCTCAGATCTCAGCTTCCATCTCAGCCTTTCTCCGTTAGCTACTAAATGACTAGTTCACACAGACTCCTAGATGACCCTGAAACAACATATCCAAAACCAGATGCTTTATTTCTTTCTGTGCTTATTCTTTTCTGCACGCCGCTCAGCTAACTGCTTCTGCATTCACTTGACTGTCCAATCTAGAAATTTGGAGTCATTCTTAAGTTCTTCTCCTTGCCTACTGCTCCTCCACGCTGAGATGCTTACCCCACTGTTCAGTCCAGTCCATGAATCTCTTAATTGTTATATCCTATACTCACTTTAGTTCTGTCTCTGCTGCACAGGCCCTTCAGTGACCCTGTCCTGACTACTTCCTCTCCTCAGTGCTGAACCCCCACACACCTTCCACATGAGCTCACGCTCCTCCTGTCTTCCTAATCATCCTTGTCCATCTTCTGTCCTCAGCCTGGACAATGGATCAATGCTAAGTCAGGGGCTAGTGAGGTGAACTGGATAGAAAAGAAATTACAACTTTATTTTCACTAGCCAATATCTGAAATTTAGTGTTTCAATTATGACAGTAGGAACTATAACATTAGAATTCCTGCCACCTTGTCACTAAAAGAAATCAGTTTTCCATATTATATACCATCCTTGTAGATTTTTTTGAGACAGGTATTGCTTCACCTCATTTTTAAGTATAAATATATTCATTTTAGTAAAAAACAAGGTGAAATTCAATTTCTAATGTCTGCTTCAACATTTATGCCATGAAGTAGAACACCAAATCACCAAAAAAGTCACCACCACGAGGCAAAGACAAGGGGACACAGCACCTCTAAATTCTTCCTGTTTATCAAGCTCCCAACGAGAACAAAACTGAATAGACCCCGTCTGTGCATCACAGTAGGATAACAGGAGCCAGGGCCATGAGAGTCATACCTAAGTCTATGAGTTATAAACTGATCCTTGGCCAGGTGGTGGTGGCACATGACTCTAATCCCAGCACTGGGGAGGCAGAAGCAGGCGGATCTCTGTGAGTTCCAGGCCAGCCTGGTCTACAAAGCTACAGAGAAAAATCCTATCTTGAAAAATCAAAAAAAGAAAAAAGAAAAAAGAAAGAAAAGAAAAAAAAAACAAAACAAAATAAAAAAAACTAATCCTTGGAGGAAGAGTGGTGACCCAAATGCAATTCTACAGTGGAACTTCTGGTTGCCTTACAAAGTTGCTTTAAGTTTCCTCTATTCTTTATTATTTATTTTATGTGTGCATGTTTATGTGGAGGGGCACGCACCTGGAGACCAGAAGTTGATAGTGAATGCCTTTCTCAATTACTCTCCACCTTATTTTCTAAGACAAGGTCTCTCACTGAACCTGGGGTATAATACCAATTGGGTTATACTAGGTCAATAGTGAGCTTTCAAGGGTCTGGTCATCTCTGTTTTCTTAGCACTGGAATTACAGGTGCCCCTTCCATATCTGTTTTCTTTTACACAGGTATGGAGATCCAAACTCAGGTCCTCATGCTTGTATAGCAAGCACTTTACCAGCTGAGTCATCTCCCTAATCCTTGGTTCCCCTACTTCTCGGGAGACAGTTCCCAAGAGAGAACATGTATGTATGTGTGTATGTGTGTATGGTGTGTGTGTGTGTGTGTGTGTGTGTGTGTG